GTATGTATCAAAGAGGCACATACATTTTACCATTTTGATATAAAAGAACTGGATAGAAAAAAACACTTTTTTTTTATATTGTAATCAATATCCAGAGGGGGACATGTAGAAAATGTAGAACATGTAGAAAAAGAATGTTGCTAATATTTGATATTCTTGTCTTGTATCTTGTACCTTTAATGTTTTCCCTACACCTGTTTACAACTTTATCAAAGGTCAAATGCATCGTGCAAAACATTATTTTCCCATTAGCGTTACGTTCTCCATTAAGCAACATGTATTTTTCTCGGCAGTACTGCTGCAACACTTAGTGCACAGGCAAGTCTGTCATCGACTTCACAACTAGGAGATGTACGGTAATGATGATTGTACAGCCCCAACCCACACTCACCATGTTCTGAAGAACCACGTTTTTACTGAGGGTACAGAGGGAATGGAGACTGTACGTGGGAATGGAGTTGTCCTTGGTAGAAGGGTCCTCTTCCTCTTCAGGAAACGGAAGGTCGAAAGCATTTGATGCTGTAGGGGAAAAGGGTAATTACATAACATTATGAATACAGGACACAACAGAAAGCTTGCAGGACGTGCAGAAAAGGATCTTCTTCGTCCACTTTGAAAGCAAGTACTGTACAATAAAACTACTGTAATATTTAAAGAACTACATTAAAGGTTTGTGGGCACTACCTTAAATGATAACAAGTCTTTTAAAGTTAAAGCATCACACAGTTTGTAACTTTCTTTGGCTTGACATATGCACAGTAGTTAGACTTGACATATGCACAGTGGTTAGCTAACTATAGAGGAACTATAGAGAATGAATATGTCACATACAGCTGACTTTCTTGACACACTCGATGGCGTGTGTCAGGGCTGCCAGCGTGGACGGCTTCCCCTCGTTCCCATCGTTCAGGGTGGAGGGTGGCAGCATGGACTTCAGCTCCTGGATGGCAGCAACTAGCTTCTCTCGGTTCTTAGCCTTCACGGACTGCTCACTGCTACTCAGGAAAACAAGTTAATAACACAGGGTGAGTAATAGTGTTCTAGCCAGCCTGATTTTCTCCTGTAATCTCAGTTTTGTTTGATGAAATGTCAATTGTCAAGGGTAGAGGCAATCTCCTTGGGGAAAATGTAGAAATCATGAACCTCAAATAAGGTTTAACCAGTGGCAAAAGTAAAAATTAAAAAAAACAGTGTCTTACCTGCAGCCACTTGTAGAGGGCTGGTCATCATTACTGCTGCCACTGAGCATGCTCAGAGTTGCACTGAAACGGCGACATATGTAAGTGGCAGCGACTGTCATCCTCAAATAAGACTATTTATCCATTATGAGCAGATGCTGTGACATGAATTGAGATTTTACAATGGTCTGAATTGGAACGAAGGCCATACACTTAGTCTGGTATTTGCAGTACATCAAACACACATATATGTATTCACTAAAAAGGAGTGGAAAATTACAATATGTAAATATCTCAGAGCTTTGCCAAGGTGCATTATCTGAAGTACCAACCTTTTAGAATCAGAGTTCTCTGAAGAGCCATAGTTGGAGAGCAGGTTGGACCCCTGTTCTCCGTTTTCGCTGTTCTCCACTTCCATGGGCTGCTCCGTGCCGCTGCCGCTCTTGCTGTTGGACGAGCCATTGGTGGAGCCAGTGACCGACACCGCCATGTCGTCAGAGTGCTCCCCGTTGCTGCCATTACCGTTGGAGGACCCGTTCGCAGACTTGGAGTCCCAGTATTTATCCTTCTGCTTGGTGGCCTGCCCGCTTGTGGAGGGTGTAGGGCCGTGAGTCGGGCCGTGAGTAGGGGAAGCTGGCTTCTTCAGGAAGTAGTCCACCGTTTCCTTCTTATGTGTGGCACCGCTGCTGCTGGTGCTAGCATTACCTTTGACGCTACAGCCGCCCAAGTCCTTACCATTGTCTGAAGGGCTGGAGGCCGGTGAGCTGACGGGAGCAGTGATAGCCGGCGCGAGCGCCTGGTCCAGAGAGACTGTCTGTTCTGGATCGGTGTCCGGGGTCTGGCTGGTCCCACCTTCACTCATAGGTTCCTCTTGGTTACATGCCATGGGAAGAAAGATGTTTTCCAGGCTCAAACTGGGAACAAACCACAGACTGCCACCCACCGCAACGAAGTATCCTGCAGACAATGTCATTTAGAAATAACAATCAGGGAAAAAATGTCGCATAACTGGACCCAATGAGCGCTTTTTCATGATAAAGATATGCATTAAAAGCCATCAAAGAAATTGTGGAATCCCTTTGATTGTGGGAAATATTTGCACACCAAAAGTATTTGGCAATCATAATGTTGAGATCATTCACGATACTGTAATTTCATTTACCTGCGTGATGGTTTAGTATATATTTTGCAGAAGGAGGGGCAAGACGTTTTTGCTGTGTTAAAGTTTGCATTTGAAACGATTCCGTAGTGGACACAATCCTCCATGGAGTAAATATTTTGCTGAGTGGCTAAGGTGTTAACTTATTTTACTACCAACATGCCAAATTTCAGGAAAACCCACCAAAAGGATCTAGATTTACAGTTGTGAAGGCCCAGACCAAAACAAAAACAAGTTGTTCCAAGTATGGAAATCTTACTAGCCTCCTTTACAGAGATCAATGAAAATAAAGTCACCATAAATATTTGAATATTTACATTATCTGTATTATTCCCAATCACAGGACACTGGTACAACAATTCAAGCTGACTGGCACCTGACACAACCTTCTATTTTTGGCAGGCTTGTATTAGATGGGACTTGATTGAATTTCCAGTCTCATCCAAATGCTTTTAAAATCTGAAAGGGCACCCAAAATGGAAAGTCACCTTAATGGTTCAATACTACTCCATCTGCAACCTGTGTTAGTAGGTCTCTCTCTAATTGTATCTATATATGTCCATAGGCACAATGGCAATTTCAATTGTGAGTCCCATCCAGCTCCTTTAGAACTGATATGTATGGGTAACAGTCGTCAGCAGACATAATGTCTAAAGAGCAAAACCTGTAATGTAAAATTATGCATAGCACTTCCAACGAAGGTCGTATTTGTATATTCGTATATTAAGTTTTCAAATGTTATGTCGGAAAAGATACTGTCTGTAACGGCAAAATTATGATGCAACGTCGACCTAACATCTAACTGAAACCATAAGAAGTTCAGCTTTCGAGCAGGTGCAGTACGCTCTCCTGATGTTGTTATATAGGTCCATCCAAGTGTAAGTGGATTGGCCTGGTCTTATTTAGCTTGTACCAGTACCAGACTGGAATGGGAACTGGAAAAGTGTACTCCTATGGCTAGTGTCTCTGGCATTTGGCCAACCTTCACAATGCATTCTCCGGCAACCTATTGGAGTATGGTACAGACTATCAGTTTAATGTATAAAACCAGCATATTGCCGCTTTTGAGACAGTTTCCTAGCTATGATACTTGGAAACAGAGAAAAAATATCAAAGACAAGTTGCATTGGCAGATCTGAGTCTTACATCAAACACTATTCATCCGTGCACTTTGGAATAGCTGCATACGTAGCCTCAAGGCCTGAATATGTCTGCTAGGGACGGCTGATTTGATCCCAACGTACGCCCAATGAGCATAATATATGTGCGTACGGCGATACGTCACACGTTATATAAGGTGTCCTTGTAGGCTACATTTGGGATAAAGCTGATACCGTAAGCAAAGTAGCATTTTCACCACTAAATCTGCCGGTCAGAGTGACCTAACTGTGAGCCAATAGGAAAGCTCCGCCACAGAAAATTAAGCCTACATGGATTTAAGCCAACTTATACAACAACTTATTTTGGTAAGAAAGGGTGTATAACCTGGATAAAGACGGTAGAGATGTAAGTGGAACATACAAGTCTGTATTAATAACCAAATACAAAACCAGACTCAATCTAAATTTCAATATCGTAGCAGCAATGCTGGGATCTGACACTATTAAGTCATCAAATCAGGATTTGGCCCAACTCTTTTTGAGAACTGTGCAGGATTTTCCCATGTACCCACAGTATAGCTGTTGATGTTTTGGAAGGGAAAGTATGAATTGAAAATCCAAAGGCAGGAGTAGTCACCACTAAACATTCATGTACACTGCACTCTTCACCTTGAAATAAATTATGATCAGATTTCCTCAAACAAAAATCATCGTGTTCATCCTTAAAGGTGATTTTATTACATTTAGTGCTAAAAGATGAAATCTGTCAAGAGCTTTCACATCAATGTCACAACACTCAAGCAATCAGCACCAAGGACATCACCCACTACGATATGTCAACAACTAAAAAAGGAAGCTCGTTTCTGCACCACAATCAAGCCAATTAGCACAAGCCTGATCATGTTCAGAATTTGATGACAGGTGGCAGGGTGGTCTTGTAGTTAGGATTGTTGACTCAAAATCTGAAGGTTGTGGGTTTGAATCCCTGGAAGGCCCCTGGTGTTGTGCCCTTTACACAGGTCCACACTACGCTGAGTACGTAAAAATTGGTACCAAAATCAACTTTGAATCCCAATAATAATTAATTCCTGATTAAATGGTACAGCTAGTAGATGTTGAATAAGTGGAAATTTATCATGAAAAAACAATAAATCCACTTATATGCTGACTGATGCCTTTAGTTCCAACAAAAAAGGAAACAAGAAAACAAAAATATTTCCCAAACTATCCTGTAACACATCACATGCGTGAATAATTTCAAAATTTCAATTTCATTATTTGCAACCACTTATTTCACAAAAAGGGTTGTTAAATTGTTCAACAAGTGGTTGAAAGACCTTTGCTATTCATGTCACGTAACACACTTGTTATTTCAATCTGCTATTTATGATATCCATATATACACAGTATCATACAGTAATTCAAAATCCTTGAGTTACCACTTGTGTAAGATACTAATTTGCATCACTGAGTAGCATGTGACCATGGATTCCATGTGAAAGTGTGGGGGGAAGGTTTGAATCTACATGATTGTTCACAAGGCACATCAGCAGACATCAGCAAGCCATGCATGTAACAGATGTTGTAAACAAACAACATGACCATATATGAATAAACAACAACAGTACCAACGGCAGCTACTCACTGTGGGATCGCGAAAGCGTGGTTTCGCCTGATGCCTCCATGTTGTTTGTACAGACTGAAATCGATCTACAGACAGCCGGTTTCAACCGCAAACAACATGTAAGTGATCATGAGGAAAGCCATCGTGGGAGAACCTGGTGTTATATAAGATTCACACGAGATGTTACATAAAGCACAGAGGTCGACGACCTTTACGACGTACGTACGGTACCATATTTGGAGGCCGGCTGCCTAGATTCTAAATTATATTACTGAGTACCTTATTTTCATCCAGCGCTACAACTACATGTAGATAGAATTAGGGGTTGGATTAGAAGGACTGGGAAAGCAATTTGCATGGTTTTCCTCGCAGTCAAATTCTTTGATATAGGAAAGGTGTAACGTAGCCCTTGGATTATTTCACCCATCCACCCAAGCATTAAGAATTTATAGAGACCACCTGTCCACAAAGACCAAATTTTATTGGTGCCATGTGCGGGGCAGTTTTGACTTAAGTCTACAATATGTAAGTTCACTGTTCTGCCATCAGTTTGATTCTTTTAGGTGACACTACATGTATGTACATCCTTAGAATTTTGATCTAGCAAATTTTCAACCTCAAAATAAAAGTTGACTGCCATAAAGATGTACAACATCCTGGCTCTTGTTGTCTCTTAACAATGTACTTGTTGCTTCAACTTGTTATTTGTGCTTCAGAGTCTCTAAAATGTCCTGAAAGGTCACACTGATCTTGCTTTAAGCCAGGTTTCTAAGACTCCAATTTTCTAAGGAAAAAATCTAGAGTGTAGTCCGTTTGCTCCTTCTTGTCAACGTCAGGTTTGGTCAAAGTAATTTCCTGGCCTGAGAAGTGACGTAGGTTCTGGTGACCATGGGTTAAGATAACAAAGTTCTCCCACGCAGGACTACACCCACCTAGTACTACCATCAGATAACTTTATCAGTAAGAGCCTTTAGCCTCACTATATTACTTCTGGTAGCTCTTCCACTGGTCAGGCCTGAAACAAGCCCAGAAGCGAGAGACTGGGGAGGCCAGACAACTAATCCGCTAAATCTTCCTAGCTAAGCCACAACAATAAAGTCTTGATCTAATTTAGCTAAGCATTTTTCTTCTGATGACCATGAGGTGAGACACAACTTCAGTCTGTAGCTGAGACTGCCGAGTGCTTAGATTGGAGCACAACATTTCCATGTATACGATTTATCACTATCTTTGACCAGATGCAGATTAGGCAACTTAGAATTCAAATTTTGAAACATCACCAATTTTATAGAGTTTTTCAGACTGGTATTAACCCGGTAAAACAAGAAATAAGCGATGCCCCCCCCCCCATATACATGTATAATGCCTTAAGCCATTTAACAGTTCAATTTCTAACTGGCTATTAAAAAAAACACATGTAAAACTCATTTTCTTCAATAAGTAATGAGGAGCGTCCAACAAAATTTGCCCATAGAAATGTAGGAAATGCCGTTTCAGAAGGCTCAAATTTCACTTTCCTCCCCTCACAAAATTTACTGACGTCGGCTCTGATTTTCTGTATAGTCGCGGTTTGTGGTACCAGTACTTTGATGGGATGGCCTGCAGGCCGATTTTTTTGTTGAGCTTTTGAAATTTGAGCTTCTCATGAATAAAAAAAATTGGTTCAGAAAAACAACAGGTGCAATGTAGACCAATTTCATGATACCCGTTTGCATAGTAATGAGCGACAAGCGTTATATAACATGCCGCGTACACGTGAGCGAACATCGCCATAGCGCATCAACTTTTAAAGGTCAGTCATATCCAATGGTGGAAGGGCGTCAAAGGGGTTTATGAAGCAACCACAAATGGGGATCGCTTTCTCATGAATAACTGAACAGTGCATTCCACGTTGGTTGAGGTATTGTCAAAACCAGAATCATATATCAGCCTTACCGAAAATGCTGATAAAAGAATTGTACGACAAATGTGAGTGATTGTGACCACATTTTAAGTTAGACTTCTTCAGATCCCTCCAATCCAATCCTTCTCGGAACACCGAGAGGTCACCATTTCGACTGGTTATATAACATGC